GGATAAAGCCCCAGTGTAAATAATTTATAGTAATGACATATGAGACTATGAGGCAATAAACAATGCTCAGGTTGGTCATCAAGCATTATCTCATGCAAGAACAATTTGGTTTTAACAACTGTAGGCTGCAATATTATATTGGAGTCCCATTGTAAATAATTTATAGTAATGACATATGAGACTATGAGGCAATAAACAATGCTCAGTTTGGTCATCAAGTATTATCTCATGCAAGAATAATTTGGTTTTAACAATTGTAGGCTGCAATATTATATTGGTCATGCCAATAAGAAATTGTCTCACCTTGACAGTGTTAATTTATATGTGATTGCATATATCATTCTGTAACAATAATCATAGCACCGTATGAGGAAAACAATAAAAGTGACAGCTTGTCATATCGGTATGTAGGCTCAATGTATGTGTCACTCAATGTGTGTGGCAAAAATCTTATGTTTACATACATTCATCAAAAACCAATATGAACATAGAAGAGTATATTTCTGAGTAATATATAAGCATCTTCATCACAATAATCAATACATAATAGTAACATCATATATTCACAACATTAGGATTGTAGCATCGTTTCCAAAAATATATAGTTATACCCAACAAGAAATAGCTTACAACATTAAGTTACTAAGCTGCTTGCCTGCAGCAAAACATGTGAGCTTACTACAGGCTCACTCTAATATGTCAACACTTGGTCAGTGTGCATAATAATAAAAAAAGCCAAACACCCCCAAAATATACCTGCAACAACAAGTTAAAATCATAAAGACCATAGAAAGTAAAGCTAATGCAATAACAAGTTGTGAAATGCCTACCTTCAGTGTCTAGCTACCACCTTCTTGTAACTTCTTGAAATTGTCCAACAAAACCCTTAGGCCAAAGTCACCTATAAAATGTCTGGCTTTGCTCTCATTCTTAAATATGCTATTATGAAAAAGCTCAAGTAATTCTATTGGGTAATTATTTTTATGCCCGAAGATAACTTTAGATAATTTCTTCGTCTAGTGCATATTAACATCTTTCATAGATGAAGAAAAGTGTTTGACTTTATCTACTATTTGCTGCATTATCTCATGCTCAAACTATGACCTCTTCAGCTTTCCTTTATGAGAAGCTATCTTTTTTGCATTGTCATGGATTGGTGCCCTGACGTTGTTGTTTTGGGAATGAGTGTCTTCATCATCTAAGTTTGCCACTTGAGGAGATTTTTGAGTCATAGGAATGCAGTCACCGTCATTATTATCGTCGTCATCCGCAAGGTTAATTGGCTCACGACCACCAAATTTCTCCATTGAAGCTTTTGAAAAGTTCCCTCTAGCCTGATCATCCCCACAAATGACAGCTAGATTCTCATAATGATTCAAAGGCTTATTGATGTAATCTTTAAGCCTGCTTTTATTTTTATCCTACAAACATTAAGTTATAACATGAACAATGTACACAAGAATATAGATTGCAGGACCAACATTTAAATTAATATATGAACAAAAACTATATACCTCATTCCATGTATCAAAACTATCAGGATCTATGACAATAGTTTTTGTTTTCTCATCCCAACCTGCACCACTAATATTACGAGCAGCCTACATATCTTAAAATCAGGAACAAATAGTTTTCATATGGTTAACAATACTTTTAGTAACAAAAGTTGTTCCAAAGTGCTTGTTCACTTCAGCGGCTGACATTGCAAATGCATGTTGCTTAAAGTTTTTGTCTGGTTTAAAACCATACTTTACCATATTTACAAGAAAGGGTATGAGCACGTCATCATGAGTAGAAGTCCACCATCTGGTTGGGGCCAAATTTGCATTGTCGTTTTCTTTGATAATTTTTCTTTTCTTATGAGCAAGAGCTTTCATTTTTCTTTTAGGGGTTGCTGAAGTTGCTACTACTTCATCAGTGGCTGCTCTCTTATTGCAACCTGAATTAGAAGTATTCCCTGTAACACTAGTTAGAGAATAAACTAGTCCAGAGGTATTTGAGCCTTGAAATTGTTGATGAAAAGATGGTGGTCTACTGAGCAAGTTCGTGTATGACATAGTGGAATGATGCATAGGAAAATAGTTACCATCATAGTTAGGCACATTAGGGAAAACAAATAATGGTTGCACAAACTATGAGGACTGGTACGACATGAAACTGTGGTTGAACCCACCGCTGGCCGAGAATGTAGGAGAAAGTGGTGGGGCCATTGAAGTTGGGCATTGATTTGAAGTCCTTCCTTTGTTCAAATCTAAACCATCAACGATTGATTTATCACACATTCCTATACTTTCAACAAACATATTTCTCAAATATCAATGTTTATAATAAAAAGACAACATTACAGAAATATGTAGTTTGCAATAGATGAGATGAAAATATCATATAACAAATTCCACACAAGCATAATAAAAAATAGACATGATATCACACTAAGAATTAACTAACACCATAATTATCTAATCAACACAAACTTGTTCTTCAAGTCTATAGGTTACATGAACACAAAACATATAGTAGAATAAATCTCAAGGGAAAACAAATATACATAGAGTAGAAATCAGTAAGCAATCTCAGTGGTGACACCCTGACGATATTTATCACAATAATCAATCCACATGTCCAAAGTGATTTGATCTCTATGGGACTTTCACTCATCTCTTGAGGCATTTTGTTCTCTTTGTGTTTAGTTTTGAGTGAAATAACCAATATCATTGTCTTCTTCAATTCTCTCTTCACGATCATCATCTTCAATGTTGATGTCCTTATTGAGTAAATCATCGTTTGGATCAACTGTTACAATGTAGTTATGGAGAACCGTGCATGCCAAAATAATTTTAACTTGTGCAGGAAAGGGGTAGTGGGGTTTTGCTGTGAGAATCTTGAAGTGATTCTTCAAAATATCAAAGGTAGCTTCAATCTTTGACCTCAAAGATGAATGTCTAAGATTGAATAACTCCCTCCTATTTTGAGGTGTTCTCCCCGTAAATTCCTTTAAATGATAACGAACACCACGATAAGGGGATATAAAACCTAGCATAGTTGTGTACCCCGCATCACACAAGTAATATTTGCCTACATATTATACACATAATTTTTTATGAGATATGACTGTGTAAATATTAGTGAGGAATATTAATAATTAGGTAACTAATTTAAGGAGTTAACAAAAATGTTACCAGTGTAGACTCTTAAGCTATATGGTTGTGGTCTAGATAGAGCATCTTGAAGGATTCTATAGTTATTTACAGACCCTTCCCACCCAGCTAATACGTAGGTGAACAATTTGTTTGGGGTACAAGCTAAAAGAATATTTTGTGTGACACCTTTACGCCCTCTGAACCATGCAACAAGACTAGCAGGTAGCATAGCATCCACATGTGTCCCATTTATCATACATATACAATCCTATAGAGTACATCAACTTACTATGTTAATGTAAGATATGATTTGATTAGACAAGTATTTGCGTAATATTATAGTGTGGATGATATACCTTGAAAAATGGGTAATATGATGGATTGTTAAGGCTCTCTTGTGGCACTGCATTCGGTGCTTGTTTCATATATCGGCCTTGTATGCATGAAATAGCTTGTAATACTCTGTTGAAGTATCTACTAACTGTCCCTCTGATCTTATAAATTGTATTCTCACAATACAAATTTTAGATTTATGACCCAATATATTCAATGTTATTGCAAGCTGATCTTCTATTGTTATATGCCGCGAGTCCTTTAATAGATTTTCCCCCCTCATAATATTTGCTAGTTTGATAAAAGCACCTGATCACATTCTAACAAAGTTTTGATAGCTATTACTATAACTGTGATATATACGATTCATAAATTCATCTCTAATTTTTTGATGTCTTATCCTTTCTTCACTTGACCCATACCATATTGATATACGTCGATACTTCATTCTCCTCAAGAATGTCAATACTAAAATCATGACAGAAAATGCAGCCCTAGCACACATTCTTAAAACAACATCTTCATCATCAAAATCATCATCCATCTATAATTATGACTTATAAATTAAAAAACCAAACTGTATGATGTTTTTTTAATAGCATGCCACTACAACAAAGCTGTTTTTTATAGCGTTGAATGATAGTGTTTATGTTATAAGTGCTATAGATCGTATGTGTCTTATTTTTTTATAGCGTTTGAAAAATTTTAAACGCTATAAGTACTTGATCGTAATTTTTTTTGTTCTGACACGTTAAAAACTTAAGCGGGAGATTGAAAATTAAAACAGACACATTGAAAACTAACTAAACTCTCAAATGGCCCGCCCCCGAAAGAAAAGAAAAGAAAAAGTATGGCTAAATTTGGAGTTCCTTTGGAATTTTTGATTGGCCCAGTTGAGACTACTAATTTTGTGGCAAAAAGGATTTGGGGTGAGTCCAATCCATCTCTTTTTTCTGATTCTTTGTTCAAATCCAAGCCCAAGCCCAGTTCTTTGGAAACTAGGGTTAAAGAAACTAGGGTTAGCAAGCATTATCAGGTTGAGTTTAATTCAGCGGCTGAGATTGTTGAGATCGATTATCAACGAAAATCAACGACGGAGGAAGATGGTGAGTGGGTTAAAGTAGTGAAGAGAAACCCTAGATCTCAGCCTCCTCCCAAAATCCTAGCTGCTCCTCATCCTCATTATCTTTCTGCAGTTTTATTCGTCGAAATAGGTTGTGCTTTCATTGTGGAGGTCAAATCACATGGCAAAGGACTGCAGAGATCCTATTGTTTGTTTCAGATGCCAAGAATTGGGGCATGAGGCGAGAAATTGTAGATCTGGAGTCATTGGTCATGGATCTGAGTATAGAGGGCGTGATAATGGTGGTCATGGTCAAAACAATGGTGGTCGGGGTCAGAATTTTGAAGGACGAGCTCGTAATTTTGGAGGTCAAAATTTCTCTGGTGGAAGAGGTAATGGTGGACGATTTGGTGGTCATCCTGGGAGATCTGATCGCTCGAATCCTTGGCAATAGAGGAGAGCGACATCTACCTTTTCTTCTTCAAGAAATGTTGAGCGTGCTTCTGAAAATCCCCCTCATAATAAGGGTAAAAGGCCTCTTTTTGCTATTGATGAAGAAAAATTACAAGAATCTTGTTTGAATTTTCAAGATCAAGGTCCTAGAGACTTTGGAGATTTGGAAGCAGAACTTAAAATCTCAGGTGATCGCCCTCGTTTTTCTGCTGCTATCCTCAACTTTGAGGGGGAGGTAAATTCTGGTTTTCAAAAATTTAAAAACTTCGTAATAGTTTCGTTTGTTGAGGGTGGTAATGTTTCATTAGAAAGACTAGAATTAGATCTTAGAGCATTTTTTCCCATGAATAAAAATTGGGATGTTAGACTGTTTACAAATGGTGAAGTTTTAGTGAAAATTCAACCATGGAAGCAAATGGAAGATCTGATTAAGATGGGAGTTATTACTTTAAGATCATGCAAGATTAAATTCAGGAGATGAAGTGCTTGGGAAGGAAATGTTGTGGAAAAAAAAATTCCTGTGTTTGGATTAAACTGAAGAATGTTCCTCCACATTTGTGGAATAAGGAATCATTTGAGTTAATAGTCAAATCTTTTGCAGATCTAGTAGAACTTGATTCTCTTACAAATGCTTGTACAGAATTTGTAGATGCAGTTATGTTGGTGAAATGCTTGGAGTATATTGACATTCCTAAAATGTTAAAAAAATTTGTTGGAAAAAATCAATACAATGTAGACATAGCTATTATGTCTGTCATGGGTGAAATTAGTGAAGGAGAAAAGAAAAAACAAAAGGTTGATCAGGTGGAAGACACTTTTTAAAGTTCATATAATGATAAATGGTTTAAAGGAAGAAATAATGTGGATCTGGATCTTCTTCTCATATTGAGTTTGCAAATACCTCTTGGACTGTTCGACAAGATTTAAGAGACTCTCCATGGGGTTCCCCTGCTGCCAGACTTTGGACAGATGCTAAGAATTTTTATTAAAAACAAAAAGATGTTTGGGAACCTTGGGTGGTTAATAAGACTTAATTGGGTGGTGACGAGCAAATTCCAGAAAAGGAAGAAGTGATGGTTTTAGATGCAAATACTTATGAACAAGAGAATAATTCTGAAGATATTACACATAAGCATGATGATTTGGGTAGTGACTCTAAAGTTGAGGAAATTACAGGGGTCTTGGGGGAGGAGGAAATCATTCCTGATGAAGATAAAGGCAAGGCCCTCATTTTAAATGAGGATCATGATATAATCAACTAGCCTTCTTCCCTAATTTCAGAGACTAATGAAGATAGTGCAGAGAAGGAAGATGAGATCCCCATGATTCAACCTTTGAACTCTCTGCCTCCTGAGGATTCTCTTCCAAAAGTGACTTTTGTTAGGAGATGTTCCAGATTTGTTGATCTTGAACCTATGACGGCATTGGCTAGAGCTACCTCCAGGATTGCTAGGAATGATGAGTTTGCCTCTCATGGAGTTTCTGCCAGTGGTTCAGGTGATGATTCTACTTTATTGGGTTCTTCTTTTGTGCCTATTTTGTTTGATAATTGCTCTAATAATCAACTACAGAAGTTTGCTTCTAAATGTGCTATTGTTCTTGAGCCTCAAGAGGATTTTGATCCTCTAAAAAAAGTAAGGCAAATGGAGTTAGAAAGAGCTACCAATGTGTAGGCTCTGGATATATTTCCTTTGTGGGGGATTGCTTATTTTGATATGTTGATTACATGGAATGTGAGAGGTTTAGGCTTGAATATTAAAAGATTTGGGGTGATGGATTTTTGTCACTTGAACAAATTTGAGATTATTTGTTTACAGGAAACTAAGTTGAATTGTATTTCTGACAGTGTTCTCAAAAGTTTAGGGGGTAATATGTTTGATTGGGCTTGTGTGCCTGCTGAGGGAGCTTCTGGTGAAATTTTGGCTAGATGGAATACTCTTAAATGGAGGAGTTTGTAGGAGAAATCTGACAAATATGTCTTGACAGTGGTTTTACAAAATAAAAAAATTAGTTTATCTGGACTGTTTCTTCAGTCTATGGACCACATTGTAATAGTGAGAGACAATCTTTTTGGTCGGAGCTTAAATTTGTTAAAGACAATTTTCCAGGTCCTAGGATTGTAGTGGCGGATTTTAATGTTACTTCCAATCCTAATGATAGAAAAGGTAAAGGCATTCATAGAAAGGAAATGGAAGAATTTAATGATGTTCTCAATGAATTAGAACTGATTGATAGTCCTTTACATGGTAGAAAATTTACTTGGTCAAATAAAAGAAGATTCCTATCTATGGCTAGGCTTGACAGAGTTTTTTTCAACTCTGAGTGGGAGGATGCTTTCCCCTTTTCAAAACAACAAGGTTTATGTAGTCAGTTATCTGATCATGCTCCTATTAGTTTTGACTATCGAGATAACCAACACTTTTCATATAAATTCAGATTTGAGAAGATTTGGTTATAATCTGAAGATTTTATTAAGAGTGTTCCTATATGGTGGAGATGTGCTCCTTCATGTACATCTGCGGCTAAAAATTTAGTAGGCAAATTAAGATTTATGAAGAAATGCATTAAACAGTGGGTCCATTCAAATTTCTATAGTGTTAGACAGAAAAAAAAGATTTGTTAGAAGATCTTTTGAAATGGGAGGTGTTAGAGGAAGATAGAGATTTAATAGATGATGAGTTGTTAAAAAAAGATGATGTTTCTATTCAGTTGAATGAAATTTTATTTCAAGAAGAGCAAATGTGGAAACAAAGAGCTAAAGCTCATTGGCTCAAGGAGGGTGATCAAAATACTGCTTACTTTCACAAAATTGCTAATGGAAGAAAAAGAAGTAATCTGATTTCATCTATTACCTGTAATGATGTTGAAGTAAGTTCTGAAGATGGTATTGCTCAAGTTTTCTTTAACCATTATAGTCAAATTTATGGTCAAAATGTCCCTAATAGGTGTCAACTTGATTGGAATAAATTGTTCCCTATATCAGATTGGGGCTTCAATGATATTGAACATCATTTTTCAGTGGAAGAAGTTCATAAAGCTATTTTTAACATGAATGGGGATAAATCTCCTGGCCCTGATGGCTTCCCTGTTTTATTTTTTCAAGTGTGTTGGGACACTGTGAAAAATGATATTATGTTATTGTTTGAGGAATTTTATGAAGGCAGACTAGAAATCAATAAACTTAATTATGCTCATATTGTTCTTATACCTAAAAAAGTGAGACTTGTACAGTTAATGATTTCAGACCCATTAGTCTGCTTAATGTGATTTACAAAGTGATTACTAAAGTCCTCACTAACAGACTGAATTCAAAGCTTGATTTGCTTATTGATCCTTTACAGTCTGGTTTTATTAAAAACAAATTTCTCCTTGATGGAGTGGTTGCAGCCCAGGGGATCATTGATGATTGTTTCCATAATAAAAGAAAGGGAGAGATTTTATTAAAACTAGATTTTGTGAAAGCTTATGATATGCTTGACTGGAATTTTATTCTGGAAGTTCTGAAAGCCAAAGGTTTTGGTATTAGATGGATTAATTGGATAAAATTATGTTTGAATAATGGTATGTCTGCCATTAACATAAATGATAAAACAGGGAGTTGGATTATGTCTAAACGTGGAGTCCGTCAAGGAGATCCTTTATCAACCCTTCTCTTTGTTCTAGCAGCAGATTCATTTACAAAAATGTTAAATCTTGCTGTGGATTCCCACCTTATAGAAGGATTAGGCCCTCCTAATATGACTCATAAAGTTCACTGTTTACAATATGCAGATGATACTTTGATTTTTTGTAAAAATGATAGAATGCAACTAACCGTTTTGAAACTGATCCTATATTGTTTTGAACTTGCTTCTGGTCTACAAATTAGTTTTAATAAGAGTATTTTAATTGCTCTGGAAAATAATGAGTCCTTGCAACAAAATTTGGCTACTATGATGAATTGCAAGAGTGGTAATTTTCCTATTACTTATCTTGGGATTCCTTTATGACCTGGAAGGTTAAAAAAAGAGGATTAGTTTCCTTTGACCAACAAAATAGAGAAAAGACTAGCTTTATGGAAAAGTAAATCTTTATCAAGAGGAGGCAGATTAGTACTGGTTAATTCTATTCTTTCATTTATGCCAGTTTTTTGGTTATCTTTCTTTTTATTTCCATCATGGGTGATTAAAAAAATTGATAAAATGAGAAGGAGATTTTTGTGGACTGGTTCTTCTGAACATAAGAGTTGTTCAAATTTGGTTAAATGGGAAGAAATTTGTAAACCAAAATTCTGTGGAGGTTTGGGAATTAAGAATTTGAAAATTATGAATAAAACTCTTTTGGGAAAATGTCTCTGGAAATGGTTGGATGGGAAATACAATCTTTAGAAACAAATTAGTGGTCATGTCCATTTTGAAAAAAAAAAAACCATGGGCAATGTTTTTAAATGCTGAAAGCTTGAAACTATCATATTTTTGGAGAAATCATTTTACTATTGCTGATTGCTTTCTATGCAGTTCACATGTTGTGGTTGGGAATGGAAACCAAGCTCTTTTTTGGCTAGATAAATGGGTAGGATAATTTACCATTGCTTCTATGTTTCCATCCCTATTTTCCCTCTCCTCATTACCCTGTGCATCCATTAGTAATATGAGAACTAATGATAACAATATTTGGAGATGGGAGATACAGTTTAAAAAATAGTTAACTGGGGATTTGGTGATTCAGTATTTCAACATGTTGAATCTTATCAATTCTATTACCTTTGGTTATCATGAAGATAAAAGAGAATGGTTATGGGAGGCTAAAAAAGTTTTTCAGTGAAATCTTTTTATCATCTCCTTATTGATGCTGGTCTAAGATTTGATTGTACAAACTTATGGAATCTTCCTATTCCTTTAAAAGTTAAGTTTGTAGTTTGGCTGGCTTTAAGGAATGGTTTGAATACAATAGATGTTTTAGCTAAAAAAGGAGTTTCAATATAGAAGACTTGTTGTTTGTGTGCTAAAACAGATAAAGATCATTCACATTTGTTTCTTAACTGTGAGTTTGTGTACTCCATTTGGAGATCAATCCAATTCAAGTTGAATACTAACAAAGATTTTAGATTGAATTCTATAAAGGAAGTTTGGCTACAGTGGTCCAGAATTCAAGTTGAATACTAACAAAGATTTTAGATTGAATTCTATAAAGGAAGTTTGGCTACAGTGGTCCAGTGGATACAATGAAGATTCTAATATGAAGAGAAGAGTTTTCGTATGCTCTCTTATATGGTATGTCTGGCAGGAGCGCAATGACAGATTGTTTTCTAATAAGCAGAAGAGTTCTCTTGTCCTCTTGAAAAAAATTGTGACTTTCTTAACATTTTGGCTAGGATGTGAGGGGATTTCTGCTCGAGCTGCCAGATTACAAGAAAGAAGAAGAAAAAGAGCTGCTGGTTTCATTAATGTTGATGCTGATTTTGGGAGCAAAGATGGTGCGGCTACAGTGATTCAATTGGGATGAGTTCCTGCTGGTTTTATAGTTGCTGGATATGCCCTCTGCTTTGCTTGAAAGAAAACTTCGTTAACCTTCTTCTGCTTTGTTTTTGGTTATTGCTGGATATGCCCTCTGCTTTGCTTGAAAGAAAACTTCGTTAACCTTCTTCTGCTTTGTTTTTGGTTATTTTTGACAAACTTGTTACATCAGTTTGTTGGGGATGATTATTTCTTTTTTTCCAGTTGTATATAGGGATGAAGTATTACTACTAGTAGTTTTTTCTTTTGAACTCTAGTACATACTCTTGGTTGGGAGTATAAACTATTTTTTTGTAACAACCAACTTGTTTTGTTTTTTTTAACTTAGTTGGCTGGAATACCTTTGGGTATTCCATCCTTTTTCTAAAAAAAAAAAAAAAACCCCCCCCCGCCTTAAATTTTATTCCCCCCCTACCACAAATTATTTCGATCCCTCTCCCTTATGGCCTGTTTGGATGGAGGGTAGAGAGGGGGGAGGGAAGGGAAGGGAAGGGAAATTTCATTTTAACCTTGTTTGAGAGTTTCATTTTGGAGGGTAGAGGAGGGGAATGGAGGGAAAATTTGGCCCAAATTCTTACACCCCACATTGGGGTGTAATGGAGGGGAAGGGAAGGAAAGGGAAAAATTCCCCTTCCTTCCCCTTCCTTCCCTTCCCTAAGTAAACTCCCAAACACACCATTAGATCTCTGCAATTCGCTCCCTCCCTCACTCTCTCTCTCGCCAAAACTGGCCAACCCTCCTCCTCTCATCCTCGTTCGAGCTCTCTCGCCGCCTCCCTCCCTGTCTCATCACTAAAACTAGGGCCACCCTCACTCCGTCTCTCGTCGCCAAAACCATCGCCGCCCTCCTCCTAGGGATCTCGAGATGGAATCGCCCAAGATTACAGAGTCTCCGGTTGATAAAATATGTGAATCTGCGACGGCGGCGACTAGGGTTCAGAAAGTCTACAGGAGTTATCGGACCCGGCACAGGTTAGCAGACTCCGCTGTGGTCGTGGAGGAGCTCTGGTAAGTTAAAGATCGGATTTTTATTTTGTTTTTATTTTTTTTCTTTTTTATTCTTATTTTTTGTCTCAAAAATTTTTATGCAAGTAATTATTTTTAAATGGAAATGATTAATTATTTGCATGTTGTAGGTTGGACAGGGTTTGTCAAAAGATTCCAAAGCCCTAAAGCTCGCGTTTCAGCACTGGATTGAAGCTGTAAGTTTCTTTGAATAAAAAATTATCTTTTTTTAATATTAGTGATAGTCTTTAAATTTTTTATTCAAATATCAAACTGGTGATTTAACTAATTTTATAAATTGTTTCTAATAGATTGATCCAAGGCATCGCTATGGGCATAATCTGCACATGTACTACGATAAATGGTGTGAAAGTGATGCTGGCCAGCCATTCTTTTACTGGTAATCTCCTAATTTTTCATTTTTTTGCTCAAATTATTCGATGGTAATACTTGTATCATCAGTGTGAAATATTTTGGCCTATGTACTTGTGAGCTTTCCAAATTAAACCTTTTTCACACCAAGGCATACTTTTTTGAGTCCAGCGTGAGTTTTTCTGTAAAGTCTTCTCTTTGTGGTCAAGTAGCGTCCCTTTTTTATTTCTGAGATCAACTAGTTGTATTGTTGTCCTTAGGAAAAAGCAATGTTTTGATTGTTTTAAGCAAGACGGGTGCTTTTAGGGATGTTTTAATATGATTATATGAGTGCTTTTACCTTTGTTCTCAACTTAGGATTTGATTATTTACTGATATAGAAGGATAAAGTTTGGTAGTCCTGGATCTAGGCACGCTTGCCCTTTCACTGTGGCCCTTGGTGTTTGGTTATTTTGGTCTCCTGCTCTTGCAGCTATTTTCCGGCTGGCTTTGCTCGCCACTCCTCCGGTGCTGCTACATTTTATCCTCCTCTACATTGAAAGGTATGTGAGTTGTTTTGGATTAATATCATCAAAAACTACGTGATCCGCAATTGTTCAACTAAGAGGGTTAAAGTATATACATAAAAGGTTGACTAACGTTCATGATTAATGTTGTATCTCTAAAGTTGTTTTGGATCAATATCACAAATTTTGAATATTTTTCTAGCATTAGGTAGATCATTCCATCAATGCATGCATTGATCTGATCACTACTGATGACTAGTGAATCGTGTTGGCATGGGACAGACTAATTAAGAAAGCAGCATATACTTCTCATTTTAGCTTCTTCGTGAAGTTTGCAGACATTAATTGCTAATTTATACTTGTGAAACTATGAGATATCAAGTCAAGTGTTGCAATTTCCTACCTTTCATATTATTTCTTCACATTATGTATACATGTGAAACTGTGAGATATCAAGTGTTGCAATTTCAGTATACCTTTCATATTATTTCTTCACATTATGTATACATGTGAAACTGTGAGATATCAAGTGTTGCAATTTCCTACGTGATCTTGTTATTTCTATGACAAACTGATGATTCTAATATGCTGGTTTTTATAGAGAAGATAGCTCAGAGGTTGATGTTGGCCTTCTTGTTTTGATGAAGATTTAACAAACAATTTACATCTAATATTGTTTGTCTAGTGTTTGTGTTTTGTTATTTATTATATACAAACAATAAGTTGGAGGATGGATGGATTGCGCCATAACAATCATATCAAATGGAGGTTGGCGGAATAGTGATTGAAGCCTTGCTATTCAAGTTGAAGATCCAAGTTCAAGCTTCATCCGTAATGTGTACCAAGTCAAGCTCTTTCATATTTATTGTTTTGGTTTTTCAAGTTTAAATATGAAACAATTGAATATAATTAGAAAATACATTTTTGTTTTATGTTTTTATGCTTACATATGATTTCATCAATATCAGTTTTATTTAGTTCAATAAAATCGTGTTTATTGTTTTGAAAGTTTGCAAAACAAGTATTTTTGTGAAAATATTGTTTTCTTGGTATATGGACTTAACAATAATGATATATATCTTCTATTAAGTCGATATATTCATTTTGTAAAGTTTCAAAACATGGTTAAGCTAAAATGTCAAAACTCATGTGTTTACATTTTTATGTTTTAAATTATTTTGCAAAATAATGATATTTTACATTTGGGAGGTCCTTTTAGAAAACCAGTTTTTGTAGCATGTGTATTATCATGTCTACAATTATTTCCCAAAGTTTTACATTTTTCTGAATTTATTTGATATTTTTAAACTCAGTTTAAAGTTGAGTTTTTCTGTGCACTTCAGGTATGTGCATGTTTAGTCGACTCATTAGTCGACTCATGAATCGACTCATAAGTCGACTCACGAAGTGTAGCGCAGTTGTGATTTTTCTTCTGCTGAGTTGACTCATATAAGCCGACTCATTAGTCGACTCATGAGTCGACTCATAAGTCGACTTATGAAAGAGCCGTTGCACAGTAACGGTTAGTTTCCAGCAGTATTTTCTGGGGTTTTTTTTTGTCTTTGCAGTTGGGTTTTGGCTGAGGTTTTGGGTGGCTATATATACCCCCTTACTCTCATCCTTCATATCTATCTAATGAAATGTTTTAAACAAGTTTAAAAGAGTTTTAAACAAGGGTTTAAGTTTTGTTTAAGTGTGTTTAAAAGCTTTTAAGCATTTTCGAGTTTGAGTTTGTGAATTTAATTCCACAAGAGTTTGAGTAGATCATCTATTGGAGTTTGAGCAATCAACTATTCTCCCTCCATCTCTTATCATCTATTGAGAAGTTTTCTAAACTCTTTTCTAGCTTTATATTTATTTGTTTGATTATCATCTTATTAAAGATAGTTTTATATTGAGTTTAGATTTGATTAATCTCATTGTTACACACACCCACTTGAGCTTATTGTATTTACGTTCATAATATATTTGGGGTTGTGAGAAATAGTAACATTGAGTTGAGCCTAATTGAGTTCTCACCTTGTTTAGAGAACAATCATTTGTTATGCTTAATTTGTGAAGTTTACTTTGTAATACACTTGTACACCGAGAGGAGTATGTGGTGAGGATGGAGTCGATATCGAGAGGAGTGGCGTCGGTGGCCTAGTGAGAGGTGATAATTCTGAACACTTGAGGGAGTCGATACGTGAGGATCAACACTTGAGGTTGTAGCTTGTGTATGTACTTTATAAGGATTTGTGAGAGTTGTCGGTTGACTTAATAACCGAGTGTGTAGAGTTTTCGATTAGCTAGAAAACCGAGTGTGTAGAGAAGTTTCGGCTTCCAAACCGGGTTGTATAGTGGATTCTCCCCGGGAGTGGGGAGCGGAGACGTAGGACGGAAGGTCCAAACTCTGTGATCATTTCTTTGTGTTTGGGTTTGGCATTGGCGCATTTATTCTTGCATATTGTTATATCGCCATTGTTGCATGATCATTTTGTTTACCCTTGTTTATATTGTATATCCTTGCACATATCTTGTAGCATATCATACTTGCTAGGATATATTTGTTACTTAGTTTTAATTGGTATAAAATTGGATTAGATTAGCATAAACTCTATTCACCCCCCTCTAGGATTCTTTCATAGCGACCTTAGGGTCTAACAATTGGTATCAGAGCTTGGTGCTCTTTGATTTAAGGACTAATCGCCTTGAGTTAAAGATCCAAGTTATCTTATTTTTGTGCTAATCTAGTTTTGTGATTTTATTGTTATCTTGCTTGCTCATATATACATTATAGATATGCACGGTGCACCTTGTTTAGGTTATGCCATCAATATTGCTCCTAGATTAGATAATTTCCTCTATGCCCAATGATGTGTTAGATTTAAACTTTTTGTTCTATCTAGAAACTTTGGTTTATGGGAAATTATAGATGATGCTTATATTGTGCCCACTTCGGAGAAATCCAAGTGGAATAAAAATGATCGTCGTATGTTTATCATGAATAAGCTTTTGTTAGAATTTTTACATAATGCGTTCGATTCATCTATGTCTAATAAGCTTGATTCTTTTGATAGTGCTTACACATTATGAAAACTTATAGAAGCACATCAAGGGAATTTGGAGGCGATCCGACAAGCTTTGGAGGATTCCGCTTCTAGTTCATGTGGAGCTTCATTTTCATGCACACAGCCACTAGACGATAGCCCTAGTGTGGTAAGCGAGTCCGAATCTGAATATGATTTATCTTTTGATGAACTCGCCCGTGCTAGTGAAAAATTATTGCATGCCTATAACAAATTACATAAAAATTTTATTGATTTACAAAGCAAGCATGAAGGTTTAAAATCCGATCATGAGAAGTTAGCTTCCAAATTTGATATCATTTCTCAAGAGAATGATGCTTTTAAAGAAAATAATGATATGCTAAATTTAGAAAATAATAATTTAAAATTGGATATTGCTAACTTGACTCATGACAAAAATAATGTCATGTTAGAAGTAGAGAACATACAAAATAATACTGCTTCTTTTATAAATGACTATTTATGTTCTACTTCTAATAAAAATGCATATGTGCCTAATAAAGATGAGTTGAATCTTGTTAAAAACCACATTTCATCTTTAGACTCAACTCTTGTTACATGCATGGATAATCATAATAAACTTATGAACATGTGTGCTAAGTCTCATGCTACTATATCTAGACATCCCATACATCATGCACACATGTATAGCAAAATTTACAAGTGTTCAAATTGCAACCGAAAAGGCCATATTGCTAAATTTTACTATGATGCACATAAATCTACAAAGACTAATATTAATGTTCCTTGTGCATCTCATAAGGCTTCTTCATCACATACACATTCACATGCCCATTCTCATAAAGTTCATCATAAACATGCTAATGTGTATCATTGTGATTTTTGTGGTAGAGTTGGTCACTTACCTAATTTTTGTTTTGATTTGCAAAAGGTTTCTAAATTGCAAAATATTTCAAGTAGACCGACATTGTTTCAAAATATTTCACATTTGCAAAATAATCTTAAAAGACCAACTATGTTTGCAAATGTTTCTCGTGCACATGTTTATGGTCAACAAAATCAAATGAGCCTCTTTCATTGTACTTATTACAATCGGAAAGGTCATTTGTATAATTTTTACTTTGACCGTGTTCGTGCATCAAATGTACCCAAAAGGGTTAATAACCCTAGGGCTTTGAGCTTTATTGATAGAGCTCATATCCCTAACCAATCCGGCACCAAGAATGCTTGGGTGCCAAAATATTTTTTAAAAAAAACCAAGAATTGTATTATTTTTAATTTTTAATTTTTCTTGGTTTTGAAAATTATGTTTTAAATTTTTTTTGATTAATTCTTTTATTTTCATGATTATTAGTTTTGATTTTTGTTGAGAGGTTTGTATTTATATAATCCCCCTCACGGGTTTATTGGGTGTTTATTTCCCAAATCATGTTTATCGGGTGCTAAAATGATTATATATGTTGGAACAAGCTCAAGAGCTTGATATTGTTGCCTCTCTTAAAAATTGTATTTTGATTTGTTGCTTTGAATTCATTATATTTCATTTATATGATGATTATGTGTTTGTGCTTATGGATCATCTACTCGTGTCTTATAATGTATTCCATGAGTGGTTTGATCAAGTTATACAAAGAAAATTTTCCTCTTTGATCAAACATTGTTTTGGACTCAAATCTTGATTTATAACTTCATTTGAGTGATTTGTTTTCACTTGAAAACTTTTTTCATGGTTCTCATGTTTTCCTCATTCCTTCGTTTTTATAAATCTATTTTTATACACTATGTTTTTATAATTATGTAATGAGACACTTCTTTCATAAATGACATATTAATATGTGTTTTCATTGTCTTGTTTGTATGTGAGTTATGTTTAGCATATCTTTCATTTATGCTTACTCACATGGTTTTGCCTTAGCTTTCATTTCATATATTCTATATGGCATTTTGATAGGGAGAGCTATTCCCTATACTTATTTTATACTCACTCATGCATATTGATAGGGGGAGCTTTCGCTCTCTTTATTCTTATTATTTTTCCCTTTTTGATGTTGTCAAAGGGGGAGAAATATTATGAGTATATATTTTCTTGTTTATATGCATGTGAATTATAATTTATATATTCATTTTCATTCATGCATATATCTTTTTT